ATACAAGAAGAACACAATAAATTTGGCAAATGGATAGAGAATTTATTAATATGGAGGAAAATACAAAGAATATTATGCTTGCAATATTGCCTAATTTTCTAAAACTCATACAAAATCATACGAGAATTTAAATCGATACCAAACGTTTCATTAACAAAAATTGCGTGACAAATAATTACTAATAAATTTATGTAAATGTGGTTTAAACAAGATTAATTTCAGAATTTTCGCATTCTTTAATTTATCTATTTATCACCTAATTAATTCATATCATGAAAATCTCACTCTAGCTGATCTTTAAAATTGAACAGGAAACTTACAATTACAAAAAGGAATTTCACAATTAATAAATGCAGTTAGTATCCCTAAATTTGCAGTTACGAGAATCTTAGACAATGTTTGTTGATCTATTTCTCCTAACGAGTTACACTAAAATCTAATTCACTAATTTAGTTATGCATACCACGTTTTGTTATACATGCTAGATAAATAAATATAAGATAAAATATTGATTTCACAAATTCAACATTACAATCAATGTAGTTCATAATCAAAACGTATTCTAAATTCAAATAAAGGATTGAGATAAACAAATTAACAAAATAATGTTACTGCTGAAAATATAACATATTCAACCACATTAAAGCAAATATATTTTACCAAGTCCAATGAATCCAAGCATAATGACAACACTTCACCACCCGCGAACCAATGACCCGTTATAGCCTATGAGCGGTAGGAAAAATTGTGAGTTTATAGGAATACTCAGTATGAAACGAGTAATTGTGCAATCCGAAATAAAAATGGAAGATTATGAAAGTATTTTTTTTTTCTTTTGTTTTGTTGTTGGAAATAAAATGGATGTAAAATGATAATTATATAGTTGAAGATAAACTAAGATATATTTGAAATGGGAAAATGATGTAAGGTGATTAGAAATTAGTGGGAACATGAGAGATAATGAATAGATTTATCCAACTAACAAATAATGTGTAAAATAATTACACACCCACACAAACGCGATAGATACACACACACACAAATAATGTGTAAAATAATTACACACCCACAAGCGCGCGATATATACATAGAGCATGTTTTGTTAAGCTTAAAATTCAATTAAAATTGAAAATATAGTCGTTATTGAGTTCCATTCGTCTAATAAAAGTCAACAATAACGACTAATTTTTCAATTTTAATCCGATTGTAATCTCTACCGAACACGTCCATAACAAATAAGATATATAAAATGTTTTTCAAACTTAAAGATAAACATTGATTTATGTAATATAATATTACTTTCTTTTCCTAATTATTTTAAAAATTATTTTATTAAGTAATAAAATAATACCCATTAAATACAATCTTGGAATTGAAATAATTTGGATTTAACTTATACGAATTAACTATTTCTCGAGTCGAAGACTTTTAATTAATTACAAACTACAGAAAGAGTCCAATATTGATATATTAATTATCATTTTATCAATAATTAATTTTTTTGACCCAAAATAATATTGGATTTAATATTATTTTACCTTAGTCCATCAACTTTTCAAAATTATAAAAATATAGCAGATGGAACAAGTAGTTTTATTCTACAAAATTTTTGAGACGTTACATATAGGACCCAAGAGAATATGTTATAGTTGGAAAAAATGATGAAAAAGCCAAAAATAAGGAAATAAAATTTCTTAGAAAAATTATGACGCTTGAGCGCCAGGCAAGCGACAAATGAGCATCAACTCGGGCGCTTCCAATGGCGCCTAAGCACTGAGTTTCGGGTTACAATTCACTTTTTGACCTCTTTAACATATTTTTCAACGAAAACAATACTTTTCAACAGAATTTGGGTTATAATATTAATAAATCTCCATTTTGACACAATTCCATCACAACAAATAAAGTATCAAAATTTCTCTACCTGAAGGCAAATTCGACTGCAAGGAATAAACCAATGCATAATACAAATGCTGCTTCATGTGTAATATGTTAGTTAAACTCTTAGTCACGCATAATTGCTCCAACTTCAACTATAATGCAACTGTAGTTTTCTCCATCAAAACATCATAAAGAATATGATTCGAAATTTGAAAATGAATTTGTGAGAGCATTTGATTCTTACTTTAGTTTCTCCTTCATCAACCAACTTAAGGTCATCTTGTCAAATTCCAATAAAGCATCATCCAAATCCATCTGAGTGAACACTATTTGCATCTTCACTTTCCATAACAAGAATCTAGTGCTGCGATCCAAAAATGGAATATCATATTTCATAGTTGCCATCACAAGAACAAAATCTTGAACTAATCAAACCTTAAGCTCTAATAACACTTGTTAACAAACTAGCAAGAATTATATATTTTCTGATACCACTTGTTAGAGAAATAACAAAGATGAGGTTATGGCAAAATAAGAAGTAGTAATCACAACACAAGAAGAACACAAATTTGGTATAGGGATGGATAATTTATTAATATCGACAAAGATACAAAGAATATTACGTTTACAATGTTGTCCAACTCTCTAAAACTCATACAACGTCATATGAAAACCAAGAATTTTGTGGAATATACATAGGACCCAAGAGAATATATTATAGTTGGAAAAAGGATAAATACAAGCAAAAAACAAGAAAACAAAGTGTCCCCGGAGCAGGTGGTAAGCGAGCGTCAGCTCAGGTGCCTCTAATGGTGCCCAGGCGTTGAGTTTCGGGCTACACTTTTAACCTCTTTAACACCATCTTCAATCAAAACTCTACTTTTCAATAGAATTTGGATCACAATATTAACACCGTGCATGCTTTGGTTGTGGGAAATTCTTCTCCACCTCTTGTCTCTGAGGGTGTTAGGGAAACTACTCACTGACTCAACTTTCCCAACTAGTGAGTTGAGTTGTGAATTTCTCATGCGAGATAGCTCATTGTAATAAATGAAAAATACAATTTCACAGCATGTACCACCAAAGGTCAAGCTCATGATGTGAGTCGAGCCACCAATTTAACATCTCTACTTGTTTCTCAATCTTTTTGGCTATGTGATTTTTGCTTTCTTAGATCATGTCCACAAAATTATTATTCTATAGCAAAACTTCTCCTAATGCACTGTAAATTCATTTCTTATCACCTTGCCAATCTTTCCTAATTTTATTGCCTTTTCCTTCAAGAAATATAAGGTTGCAAACAGGACGGATCGCTTGCGGGCTCATTGACTCGGTTCTTTCTTACTCGACTCATGGGCGAACTGGGCTCGTTTTGAGACAAACCATGGGCTAAGCCAAGGCACTCTTTAATTTTCATTAGTTGACTCATTTTCGACTCGTGGGTGACTTGTCTTTTAATTCATTTTTTCAACTTATCCTACTAATTTTTATTAAAAAAAATGAACCGACCTGTAGGAACATGGATAGCTCGACTCTGCCCATGAGATCCATGATTCAAATGTCTGAATCGAGTTTATTTTGTGGACACGAGTCGAGCTTTACTAGTTCATAAGGCCAAGCCAAGCCCATTGACAAATCAAATCTAATTCCATAATTAGGAGCATGTCTGGTGAAACTTTTTCACCTAATTGAAATCATTTTTGTGGCCGTTACATATCATTTCAGCAGCCTTTTTTGACTGTTTGTGAGAGAAGGGGGCCCCACCAGTGGACTTTAACGGTAACATTAATACTTGAAATCTGAAAGTAATTCTTACCAGACATGTTCTAGATGTCTATTGACATCATTCCTTTTATTCATGACCTAGCAGTTGTTTGATAAAGTTTTTGATATAAGGTTTAGTAGGTTTTGATAAGAAAGTTGATGTTACGCCTTTGTTTGATACACATTATTTTCAAAATTAATTTTTTTTATCTTTTTTCTTAACCACACATTTTCAATAAAATAATATTATACACAAATTTAAAATTTTTCCTAATTTTTTAATCATACATTCTCTATCAATTTATTATTCTAAAATGCATTCTTCTAAAATAATGTGTATCAGACAAGCTCGCAATGTACAATAAAAAAACTGATAAAAATTGTAGGTTCAAGTAAATGTATTGTTAAAATTGAAATTTTACCCGCTAAAAAGTTAATAATGTGTATCAGGCAAGCTCGCAATGTGCAATAAAAAAACTGATAAAAATCGAAAAAATGTGCAATAAAAAAATTGTAGGTTCAAGTAAATGTATTGTTAAAATTGAATTTTTACCCGCTAAAAAGTTAATAAAATTTTAACAAGGTTTTATAAACAATCACTTAGTTAAAAAAAAAAACCTTTAAAATAATTTCAATTTTGGCAGCTCAACTTTTATTCCCATTGACTCGAGTCATTCTCAACATATTTAGAGCCTGTTTGAGCCCCTCTCCTCTTTTTTTCTTTTTTTTCCAAAAATGCATTTTGGACTAGTGACTTGATGGAGAATATGTGGTTAAAAAATAAGAAATTTTTTTGGATCCATGCGTAATATTATTTTATAGAAAAATTTGTGGTTAAAAATAAGAGAGAAAAATATATTTTGATAAAAATAATGAAAACCAAACGAGGCCTAAACATATAATGATTTTCGAGTGATTTCAAAAAATGTATACCAATAAGTCAACTAAAAATCCGTCTCTTTATAGCATTTGATTAAAAAAAAAAAAGCTTTTATGCTCAAAGACACAAAAGTCACATACGCGCCTCGTATTTGAATTTCGTCAATGGCCCACTTTTTCAAAATAAAGGAATAAGAGTGTGATGTACCAACCTGTAGCACACACACTGACAGTAGCCGTTAGAAAATCAAGCATCTCGTTTGCACTCTCCAAGGAGAAAATTATCTTCAAAAAACAAAACTTTTGTTTTCCCTTTTTCTATCCATTCTTCTGCAATAGCAATCAATTCAGGTAATCCCGGAGCACTCTTTTCGATTTCTCATTTTCTCATTAAAATTTTTGAGTTTCTGAATTGATTTTTTATTTTTTTGGTGGTGTTCTGAAGGAGCTGAGAAATTGAGAAGGAAAGAAAGAGGATGTCACTGACGCCGGACCATTTTCGTAAAGTGGGGACAGGGGTTTCGCCATCTCCATCCCCGTTTTTTACGCCACGGCCTGAGAGGCGCAGGCCTGATTCAAGAGGATCTGAGTGGAATTCGAATCGTCAGGACAAAGATAAAGAGGTCAACGTGCAGGTTCTGCTAAGATGCAGGTGATTTTTTTTTTCCAGATTTTTTTATTCACTCTTTTAATGTTTTTATCAGTAAAATTAAATAGAATTATGGATTTCTGTTTTTAGGTTTTAAGTCACAAGCACGGAAATTTATACTTGATGCATATTTAAAATTATAAATGTAAGTCAAGAAAGTTGAAATCCATGAAAATTAGGCAAAAATGTTTCCCACTTTGATCGGGCCTAAATTTCAGTAAATCAATAATGTTGCAGATGAGGACTCCATTTGCGAACTTCTCTTTTCGATTTTGTTTAAATGTCTTATTTTATATGATGTACTATGTTAACTGCTATGTTTGGATTTAATTTTAGGCCGTTGAGTGATGATGAACAAAGGGCAAATGTGCCAAAAGTAATCACTTGTAACGAAAATAAAAGAGAAGTCACTGTTTTGCAAGGCCTGGCTAACAAGCAAGTGGACAGAGTTTTCACCTTTGATAAGGTATGCATTATTTGTTGTAATGATTATTCAAATCCCTAGGCAGCAAAAATATTTATTTACTCTTTGATGTCTTTCTGAAATATTTGAAAGGTCTTCGGGCCAAAAGCACAACAAAGATCAATATATGATCAAGCTATTTCCCCAATTGTTTGTGAAATGCTTGAGGGCTTCAACTGCACAGTCTTTGCTTATGGGCAAACTGGAACAGGGAAAACTTATACAATGGAAGGAGGGATGAGGAATAAGGTATGAATATATCATCCTAAGAAATAAGGTATTTGTTCATGTTTTTCCTGATTGTCGTGAATTCAACAATGCTGCATTTGTCCTAGGGTGGTGAATTGCCTGTTGAGGCAGGTGTCATTCCTAGAGCTGTTCGACAAATCTTTGACACACTTGAGGCACAAAATGCTGATTACAGTATGAAAGTGACCTTTTTGGAACTTTATAACGAAGAAATAACTGACTTGCTCGCTCCAGAAGATAATTCAAAATCAACTGAAGATAGGCAAAAAAAGCCTATTTCCTTGATGGAAGATGGAAAGGGTTCTGTGGTTGTAAGAGGCCTTGAAGAGGAAGCTGTGTATAGTGCAAATGACATTTACAACCTTTTGGAACGAGGTGCAGCCCGAAGACGCACGGCAGACACTTTGTTAAACAAGCGCAGTAGGTATGGTTTATCTAGTCCTCATTAATATATATATATTTTCCCATCCTGACTAGTCTGGTAGCTAAAACGCTTCAAATGTTGCAGCCGATCCCATTCTGTATTTACCATAACTGTTCACATAAAAGAAAAGGCCGTGGGAGATGAAGAGATTATCAAATGTGGCAAGCTTAATCTTGTTGATTTGGCAGGATCGGAGAATATTTCTCGCTCAGGAGCTCGAGAGGTGTGAAATTAATTCTTTATTTATTCATTGTTCATGCCTGTAAACACATAATTTTGATGAAGAGTGGAGACAAAAGTACTAATGTTCGAAATGATCCACAATGAAGATTTTTTTTTTCTTTTGCTTAACCCTATGGAAATGAGCTGAAACCATCTATAGCTACCGCTGCTTTTGACCAATTGTTTGCTGTAAAAATACTTCCACTGTCAAGGTCCCGTATTTCTAGAAATTAACATAATTACAAAGCAATGAGTGAGTTGATAAATGCAATCCCAATATTCACTGATGGATTACGGATTTGATTTAAGAATCTTGTCAGTGAGAAGCAATAACAGTATAAGAGAATGGAAAAATGTTCATGCTAGAATTTATTGATACTGCATCAAGGAGATTCAGTTTTATCTTCATTTTGTTTTGATGACTGCAAGGTTGATAGAGCTCCATTCTAATAATTAAGTTTTGCTGGTTTTAACCTTCAAATATTGATTAAAATTCCACATTATAATACAGCTTCGTGCAAGAGAAGCTGGGGAAATAAACAAGAGCTTACTAACCTTAGGCCGTGTAATTAATACGCTGGTGGAGCATTCTCTTCACATACCTTACAGGTCTGAATAAGTGGCAGTTATTTTATTTATTTAAGGGACAAATTAATATTTTTTCCTCCTTCATCTCCTTTTCTGAACCACTGTACAGGGATAGTAAGCTAACCAGGCTCCTAAGAGACTCCTTAGGAGGGAAAACAAAGACATGCATCATTGCAACAATTTCCCCATCAGCACAAAGTTTGGAAGAAACTTTGAGTACACTAGACTATGCTTGTCGAGCTAAAAATATTAAAAACAAACCAGAGGTTTGTATTGCCATTTTCTTTGCTTCAGTCTGTATATTATATGTTTCCCGTTTGAGCTGAATGAAACTTATTTTGAAAGGCAAACCAAAAAGTCTCCAAGGCTATGCTGCTTAAGGATATATACTTGGAGATGGAGAAAATGAAACAAGGTACTCTGGCGTGCCTGCACATAGTGTTTTTTTACACAGTAATATGGCCTTGATTCCGAACTCCTTTCCATCCGAATTCAAATCAGATATTCGAGCAGCAAGGGAAAAGAATGGTGTTTATATTCCACACGAAAGATTTCTACAGGATGAAGCTGAGAAAAAGGTACATATGTCTGAGTGTTATTCTGGTGCATCTCATCCTGGCAACTTTTTCTACTCTAGTCAAGTTCATTGTAAGAACTGTTACAACGCAACGGTGATTTAGCTTGGGTGAACAACTTTTAGCTGTTACTTTTATAAAGAAATTCCGGCCTTACGTAATGTTTAACCTAAATAAACCATAATAGTAAATCTTTTTAACCCTGTATATCTGATTTGTTTGAATCTTATACGGTGAGCTATACATCTTGCAGGCAAAAAATGAAAGGATAGAGCTATTAGAGATTGATCTCGACAACAGCGAAAAGGTAAACATTGCTTGTTCATCTTTTTCATGGTTAATAATTTCATAATATTGTATCTGTTCACTGACCTTTGCAACTTCACAGCAACTACATAAATTTCGTGAGCTTTATCTCAGTGAGCAAGAAGATAAACTGAACATTGCAAGTGAGCTCAAAGACTGCAAGGTATAAACAGATAGTTGCTTAAAAATGTCATACTTTTTGTGGTCGTTCATCTGATTTGCATTGCATTTTTCAGGAAAATCTACAAAATACATACAAGACACTGCAAGAGCTGCAAGAAAATTATAAGACAGCCATTTCAGCATTAAAGGAAAAGGAGTCTACCATCTCCAAACTCCAGCATTCAGGTTACAAGAAAGTATTGTCAACACAAGTCAAGCGTCTTTTCACATATCAATTATTAAACATATATGAATCTTTTGTTATTGAAAACAGAGATTCGTTTGACTGACTGTGCAAAGGATTTACGGGCTAACTTGCAAGATGCACGCAAAGATATAACTGATCTTTTTGGAAAAATAGGTATTTCGGCCCTTCGTTTAATATTTTTTTGCTATTTTATCTGATTATTTCTTTAGTGTCTATATGTTTATCTATTTACTTAAAGGTTTGTCTTTCTGCATGTATTTTACTCAATTAGTCCATTCCTTTATATATAAATTGTATTCTTTCTAGCTTAATTAGGTATTATAAGTTTCTTGTAGTTTATTGACTACCGCCTATTAAAATATATTCTCAAATGGTAGTCACTTATATTTCCAAGATTAATATCACTACTATTTAAATGAGAAAAGGAAGAAAAACAATGGGACATATTAAACAAAGAATGCTTTATGCACCCAACTAACACTAAATTGCCTTGCAGATCATAAAGACAAAATTGAAGCTGAAAATCAAAGTCTTCTCCTTACATTTGGTGCACAGCTTGACAAAAGTTTAAAACTTCTGCACGAGATCGTTGTGGGGTCAATTTCCGAGCAACAACAGCAACTAAGAAGTTTCGAAGAGCATGCTAGCTCATTTCTTGACAGTAAATGCAATGTAAGGCATTGAAGCTGGAAAGTTATGATTAAGCCCGTGTTTAGCAAATTTCATAATCCACCACTCAATTCTTTCTATTTATAAATTAAAACCATTACATATTCTTCCAAAATGAAGTCTAAACTTGTCAAGTTTGTAAGTAGGCTGATCTGTTGCTTCCTTCCTTATCTATCAGTCAACCCAGGCCATGGAATCAAGGACAAAAAAACTGACAAAGACATACGATTCAGGAATCTTGGCCTTAAAGAAACTTAGCGACACACTGCAGATGAAAGCTTCTTCCGATGTGAGAGAAATGAAGTCAATGATATCCTCCCAGGCAACGACTGTGGAGAATGTATGAAGTTAATGTAATAAACTGTGATTTAATCCATTGGCTGTGTCATAGTAATGTCTAAGATATGGTGTTGTATTATGTATGAGCAGTTCCTCAAAACAGCATCCTTGGAGGCCAAGGATTTCATTTCTGATATTCAGAATTCTCTGGCTGAACAATGGCAACTGTTGGGGTTTTCTGCCCAACAGCAACAAGAGGTTGGTTGCTCAGGATGGTGATTGACTCGTGTTCTTCAAAATCCCTTCTATCTTTGCCAAGAGAAATCTTAATCTGATTCTTGTAAATATTGTAGGGATTACGCCGAAGTGTAGTCTCAGCACAAGTGATTTCAAATGCAACGATCACTTTTTTGAATGACCTCCACCGACAAGCTTCTCAACTTATGAAAGTTCTTGAAGAAAGCCTGATTGATAAATCCCATCAATTACATGATTTTGAGCAAATGTTCAAGGTCAAGTAGTAAATAAGTAGTGTATCTACACGAATAATTTTAAGGTGGTATGGACATTCATGGTATCGTCCTTCTCTGCTTTTTACAACAGGAAGAAGCTATTAGAGAAGAAAAATCAGCCATGGAAAAAATAGCGGCAATATTGGCATCTCTGACAGCTAGGAAAACTGCTATTGTAAGTTCAGTTTTTCATTCGGTTTGTTACTATTCAGGTAGATGACGGTCTTTAAGTGCTTGAAATATGTAAAAATGAATTACAGGTGTCGGAAGCCTCAAAATCTTTTGAAGACTCGTGCATACAAGAAAATAAGAGAGTGATGCAGGAATTGACCAACATGCAACAAATTTCAACTCAAGCAGAGAAAGAGTTAAATGAATACATAGAAAATGCTAAAAATCGTTGTTTGGAAGACACATTCTCCTCAGCTGAATGCACAGCTACAATAGAAAATTGCCTGCAGGACTGGTAAGCTTCTAACCTATTGTATGTCTTGATTTTTTATCCAAGCTTTGAGGTTACAAATGGGCAAAGGATGGTATAGTATGCACACTCCAGATGTAGGTTTTGCAAATATATGGCTTGTTTGGAAGGGAGGAAAGGATTGTAGCACTGGATATTATTGTAATGAAATAACCGGCTAAAATCTTAATTCATTATACAATCTAGTGTTGCATGCCAAACATGCACTTGGTGTGAAGAGTTTCGTATTAAAGCAATAAGAAGAAGAAGACGCTAGATAGTGAATCACCACTCAAAATAGACAGGAAAACACAACGTAGAACCGTAAGATCATGACAAATTTTAGAGCTTGTTTGGTAGGGATTTTTTGGGGGAAGAATTGATTTTGAATAGTGATATGATGGGAAATGTGTGGTTAAAAAAGAAGAAAAAAATATTGATTTGATGAAAAATATTATTTTATTGAAGAATGTGTGGTTGAAAATGAGAATTAATTTACTGTAGAAAATGAGAATCCCTACCAAACAGGTCCTTAATCTCATTAACTGTTGCACATTCTTTAGTTCATCAACAAATTACTGATAAGTAAAATTGTTTCATCCTGATGAGCAGTGCTAAAATGGTGGACTGCTGTGGTCAACAATGGGATAATGCACAAATAGGCATTAGTCATGTTTCTAAGAACAATCTTGCAGAAATCGAATCCACTGTTCGGTGAGTTTGCTTATGGCATATTTTTCTTAGATGAATATTCTTAACATTTGCATTATTTTCATTTTGTCTCTTTGTGGCAGGACAAAAATTCTTGAAAATCATTCTATACACGACGAGCTTGTTTCCACTTCCTCATCTATGAATGCAGAATTTCACGACCATATCCACAACTTGAATATGTCCATCAATGGTACTCATATTTCCTAAAACAGTTATTTTCCTTTGAAGTCTCAAATAGAGGCCACTTTACTAGAAAAGTCATGCATATGCAGATTCTTTGATGTTTGACAAAGAAAGTAAGAAGCAAATAGATTCGATGACTAAGATCAGCTCGGATCAGCTCAAGTCAACAAGTGCGAATCATGGTAAAAACGTATCAGATATTTGCAATAGAGCAGAGCAATGTCTCGGCAAAGATTATTTGGTACGTTTAGTAACATGAACATTATTGACATTATTACATAGAACAAAACATGGTTTGGGATGCATGTTTCTTTGAGTTCAGATGATAGGAGCTTTTGAATTATTACTTTGTCCAATCCAGTCTAGTCCAATATTGCATACCATACATGCCAACGAAGAATCAAAAGAAGTTGAAACTAGACTAATCCTCAGTTTTGAGCAATTGAAGTGTCTACCTACTACTAACAAATTTCTTAATTGTCAACAGGTTGATGAGCATACAAATAGAACTCCTAAGAAGAGAGCAATTCCAGTTCCGAGCTTGGAGTCCATAGAGGAGATGAGAGCACACATTGTGGAGGTTCATTCAGAAGAGATTTCAAAATGTGGCAATGCTGAAAGCAAGATTTTGCAGCCATGTTTAGGAGCATCAATGAACAGAACTCCTTTTCAGAATGTCAATTAGTTACTTCTGGGATTAGGGAGAGTTAGTAAAATCTTGACTAGTTATGTTGTATGTTCAGTGCATCTTCAATGCCATCGCCAAAGCACTCGCTAATTTAACGAGTAACTAGAGGGAAAAATTTTCTTGCTGAGCCCAAATTAGAAGGATACTTAGTTTGTTGTTTAAGTGGGAAAAGTTTGAGCTAAGAATTTGCTTTCGCTTTCTTTCCCTACATAAAATCTACGATCTAAATGAAAGCTTAATGAATTCTGTTGCTTTAATGGATGCTGTAATGGTCCATAACATTTTCTCATTTGTTAACTTGGTTTAGAACTTAATAAGCTCATCACCAACTTGGGTTTTGCTAGAGAGACAGGGCCGGTGCGCCCTCTTATTGGCTAGGCATCTGTCATGACGCCCAGCCAATAGGCGCTCCCTGTTCATTCAGGGCTCATGTGGCCCTGGATGAATAGCAAAACCTGTGTAACTTTGCAATAGGTTATTCTTGGCTCTGTTCATGTATCATGATTCTTTTGCAATATTCATTACAAGAACTATTGGGCCTTTATTTCATTCTTTGGTTTTGCCTTCAACAATTCTTTTGAATCATCAACATATATTGATTTTGATTAGAATCGTTAATAGTGATATTGTCGTTAATCATCAATGTCTTGATGTGATTGAAGCATAATTAGTGATTTCCAACATCATTTACGATATTTTCATTGATAATATCTTATGAAGGTGTTTCGATAAGCATCAACGATAATATTGTTAGTAATTTCGTTTAGATCACTTATATATGTTGATTTCAATTAGAATAATTAACCATCACACTGTCGACAAATAGTATAAATAGCTCAAGTTAATTATATTGGTTCAACTTGCCAATTATACATTATGTTTGAAAAAACGACAGGTCAGATTTATTTTTAAAATAAATAATTATCTATTTCGAACTTTGAAATAGAAAATTATTTGTTTTAAAATTTATGAATTCAAAAAGGGTAATTAGTACAGGACGTCTACACCTTTCATTGTTATTGTGTAAAACGTCAATACCTTTCATTTTTTGGCATTTTCACCCTTATTTTCACATTTCATTGCGCAAAGGTCATTTTCTCGATTAAAAATTGTGAAAGGACGAAAATACCCTTTTCTTTAAATAAAATAAAAGGAAAAAGAAAAAAAAACTAATTGCAATTATAATCCTAATTTTTTTGAAAAGCGCAAACGAATCCCAAATAAATTATTAAAAGTGTAATTAGTACATAATGTCTTTATCTTTCACCTTTATTGCGAAAAAATTCCATACCTTTCAATTTTTTTGACATTTTCACCCTTAATTACACATTTGATTGCGTCAACTGTAACGCCCCAATTTTCAATAAACACAAGGCGCTACTAAAGTCAAAATATCCTGTAAATAAGTATTCTCAATAAACGCCAAAATGCGTAAATATATATATATTTTTTTCAACTATATTAAATTAGAAATAAATGCGGAAACGTCATTTGAATAATTTGCTCACATCCAAGTGTCAATACCAAATAAAATAAGCAAAGTGTCAAAATTTGCAAAAATACTAAAACCTGAGATTTAATTGACAAAATGGAAACCAACTATTAAAAACTTGTTTCAAAAATCTATAAATTAAATTGTCTATTATTTAATCAATATTGCCCCACTCATTGCCTTGCCTTGCCGAGCTCCTTAACCTGAAATAGTGGATAAATATTGGGGTGAGCATAACGAATTATACTCAGTGGGGAAATAGCAATCAGTCCAAATTAAATCTAAACATGAAATTAAATTATGAATATAATACCAATACAACATACTGTAGAAATATGTACTGTGGGACACCCCCAAGGACCCAATTTCGATCCCGGACCTATTTACGGTCCCTGACAACATGTTATAAGCGCATAACAATTTTGCACTGTGGGACACCCCCAAGGACCCACTTTCGATCCCGGACCTATTTACGGTCCCTGGCAACCTTTTCATATGTATAAGCATTTTATCACAATTAAAATCGCACATCAAGAATTAACATGGACAAAAATAATCACAATTGCTTAAATGTAAACCCCACCTCAAAGTCTTGAAAATTTTCTTGAAATTGAACTGATGTGATGTTACCGTGCTTCAAACTTTTCCCGCGAACTCGTCTAGCAATGACAAAATTAATATAATTTAGGATACTAAATCCTAATTAATGTTTTAGAACTTTTAGGGGCTTGATTGGAATTTTTGAAAGTAAAGAAAATGAGTAATTTGAAAATCCATTAAATCTTTAGGGTCTAATGACGAAAATTAAAATGTTTCGGGCCAATAAAATAAAATTAGAAAATATTTTATATTTAATTTGAAGAATACATAAACTTTAGGGGTGAAGAATGAATTAAAATTAAATAAGGGACTAACTTAAATGTTTTGTCAAAGTTAAGGATTTAAGGATGAAATTTCCCTATTTAACTACAAAGTCCCCATCCCTAAAATCAAATTTCACGCAGAGAGAGACAGGCAGCTCCTGGCTTGCGAAACAAATGGGAAATTTCAAATGGGCTTTCGCATATTAATGGTTTTCAACCAAAATCGAGGGTTTAAGAATGAATTCTCCATATTTATACAAAACATCCCACTACCAAAAATCCAATTTCACGTGCAGAATGTCCCAGTTCGAAATTCAAATGGTTCCAAAATGGGTCTTCGTATTTAAGTGATTTTCAGCCAAAATCGAGGTTAGAGGAGGAAGTCCAATAGCAAGAGCAACATATGGAGGGTAAGAATCGGAATTGCAGGTTACAAATAAACTCTACCTACGGTATCAAACTCAAAAATTACGTTTTATTTCTTCTTCTTTTTTTTTTTTTTTTGAATATGTGTTGAGAAGAAACATGAATTATATAATTCGAAGGAAACTGAAAATTAGTTTCGAAGGAGTTACCTGTACAACTTTTTGCCGAGTGATTTATTGGTTCGAAAATTTGCAGCTTGGGATTGGAAGAAAACTGGTGCATGTGACTGTGAATTAGATGATGATGAAAACAAATAGAAATAGTTGCTCCAAAGTGAAGAATTTACCTAGTTGAATGCTCAAGATTTCTTGTGAAATTTTGACAGCCGCGAGTGAATATTTGGAGATGGAATTGATTGAATTTTAGATTTCTTGTGAAATTTTGACAGCCGTGAGTGAATATTTGGAGATGGAATTGATTGAATTTCTAGGTTTGACACAATTGAGCCATATAAACGTAGGCTCCAGAATTTGGTTAGTTGATTTGGGTTGATAATGGACTTAGGCTTGGGCTAAAAAGAAATACTGGACCAAGAGAAATTTTAGAATCGATGTGGTGTAAAATTCGACCCAATAAGGAAATATTGAATTTTTAAGTTTAAAAATCGTTTTTGAATTATTATATTAAATGTTTTGC